TTTTGCCCATTCCTGAATATATCTGTACATAATTGTATATATTTTCTTGTATGATTCATTAGTGTTTTAATTAAAGCTGTGTAGTTTAGTTTTCAATCCAGCCAAGTCTCTCTCTTTTTCTCTCTCTCCTTCCCTACCTGGGTGGGGGGGGAGTGGATCGAGAGCGTTGTTGTCGGACCTGAGTCAAACAGTGACAATAATTTATTGGCACCCAACGTGAGGCTCAAACCCACAACCCTGGGATTAAGAGTCCCATGCTCTACCAACTGAGCTGGCTGGGTAAGCCTCCTATGGGGGGGGTCACAGATCTCCCCATAGTGTCTGAGCCGGCAGAGTGAAGGTGCGACCTTGAAGCCTCAGTAGTTAGAAAAACATTCCACTGTCTTATCAGCCTAGCAGAGCACACTGTTGCTAGTTACAAGAAAGCGCACTGAAGGAAAAAAAATCAGTAAAAAGAAAAATTGGCTTCATCCTGGCTCAAACCAGGACAAACAGGCTGAATTTCTTCCTAGTGCTGAGTACATTAAGTTTTCTGTAATGCAGTGGACAGATACTTTGCACCAGGAGTGAATTTAAATGCATGACTATGACATATGCAAATGTTTTTGTTTCACAATAAGGAGAGCATCTGCATCAATGTAATATATCCAGCTGTATGGGTTTTTAATTCAGCTTGATTGCCCTTTGTGTTATTTTCTGTAATGAAAACAATAAATTTAAATGCTGCTGGCAGTTTTTCCCCAAAGACTTATTTCTACATCTGATAGGAAAGGTTGTGCTGGTCAAGTGCTCTCAGTCATACTTACTAAGAATCACCAATCAAATTAAATTATATACTGCCATTTATAAAGTTCCTAAGGACCCTGTCTGTCTCACATTGGAACAGTAGCATTACTTAAGTAAAGTCCAGTGGGCCTCCAGCTCTGCTCAGAGCATACTGCATCTTCTCATACAACTTCACTTGTTGAAAGAGCCCATAATTATGTGCTTTATTAATCAGTTTATTAAACCATGAAAAAGAACCAAAGCTGTGCCTCTGCACAGGCATCTTACAAAAGCACTGGCCCTAGAGACCAACTGAATTATAACATAGCTCTCTGGAACCAAAGCCTATGAACTCATCATTCTCTGAGAGCTGCAAGTAAATCCAGCTTTGGGTGGTAGGGAGAAAGTATACCTGAAGCTGCAAACCATACTCCTCACATCTTTCCATTGAATGAGTTAAGTACCCTGGGAAAGAAGCCATGTAGGTCATCTTACTCTTTCCTACACAACGTTTTTTAAAGAGATAATCCAGTTTTAAATGAACTGTAATTTTTAAAATATAAAGAATCGGGCTAAAGCTGCAGTAAGTCTACTGGGGCACAGAAGACAAAACAATCTTCCTTCAAACTTCCTCCTCCTTCCTTCCCTCTTTGCCTTTATCATTTGTATCTGATGGTTGCTAATCACAGACTTTTCTAAAATTGCTGAATCAGTAACACTATTCAGTCTTGTTAAGCTATAACAAAAGCATCGTACAATTATCTGCAGTAAAAACACTGCAATACGATCTGTCAGCATTTATCAGATAATTCCATTATGATGCGAGTACACGTATGGAAAAAAATAATTTTTAAAAATCAACAAGTAGCTTCCACAGGACCGTAAGAGTACAAGGTGGCAGAGGAAAGAAGGAAACACACATAATTGCCTCACCTATTTAGAAAACTGATTTATTTAGAAAACTAATTTATTTTGCAAGGGTGCATTTCTAACTAGCAGTGTGCATTGCAGCCAGACCTCTACTTTCTTTTACATTACTGAAGCAGTGAAATTACATTCTGAGATAAAAGGTTGAGCATTCACATAATCTTTGAAAACTAGTTGCTTCAGTAGTCAGATTTTCTTGCTAACTTTAGATTAATATGTAAAGCAAGCTAAACATTACCTTGATTTTCTTCCAGCTTCCCAATTGTTTCTATCTGCTCAACAAGGTCGTTTGAGTTCCACTGGCTCATGCCTATGAGGATGGCACTTTTTCCTTCCACCATCTCTTCTGTAGGAGGAAAAAGGAGAACAGAATAAATTTCAGTTATGAACATAAGAAAAAAGACAAAGAACTAGTAATTTAGAAAGAAACAAACAATCATCATGGTCCCTAGTAGTAATATATAACAGGCTAGCATATACAAGACTCTCCAGGAGAGTCTAGAGCACACCCTACATGCTTCATACATTGTGTGCAGGAAAACCATGGAAAAGAAGGGACTGCCTCTATTTTTGCTCCTACCTTGAGCAGTCATTTAAAAAGATTTGTCCTTTCTGAATAAATTTAATAAAAACATTTCACCCTGGCTGTATAGAGCCCAGAATGGTCTTTGTATCTAAGGTGACTGCAGAGGAAAAAAAAAGAATACAAAATGAATAATCACTGTTCTTTACTTCTTCAGGCAGATTCAGAGAATGGGTCAAATTCTGTCCTCTCTTACATCTTTTGTAGAGAGAAGGGCTCTGTTATGGGCATAAACACAACACAAGAGTTTGGCCAGAATGGTTCTGGCTAAAATGATCCATATATTTGGGAAAAAAAAGGAACATGAGTTCGTTGGCAACCAGGCCAATTGCTTCTAAGCAATTAAAAATCTATATTCCTTCATGCTTTCCTGTGTGTACTTCTCTTATTCAGAGAGACCCTGATACTGGGGAGAAGGAAAGAGGATCTGTATAAAAGCTTCTAAATTACTTTGCAGTCATATCTTCTACTAAGTCCTATATTTTAGAAACAAATACTCATAAAGGTCATTTGTCAGATTTATCAGGGAAGCTGGATCCAACAAAGCCCTTACTGGACTTGATGCAATCTCAGCTGCTCCCTCAGGCAAATAAAAGCAACCACTTAGAACAGCATTTTGCACAGGTTTGTCACTTTCTCTCACAAAGGCTGATTTGAAATTCTGTGAGAAGGGAGGGAAAG